GTCCCCTCATCTTTAAAGAAGGTGGGTTTAAGATGCCTCTGATCTGCTGGGCACTGGGGACACTAGGGTAGAGTATGAGTCGCCCCCTGGAGCCCTACTGGGAGCCCCCAAGATGAGGCTGGTTGGAGTGTTGTGTTCCAGAGCAGTTTTGTAGACCTTGTATCTCCTTTCACGTGAGTGGGTAGGAACATGGGAAGCTGGTCACAGAATGGCTCATGCCTTGTCTGGGTGTCCTTGCTCTGACTCATCAGAGACAACCAGTTTTAGGGACACCCTTGGGTCCTCCAACCTGGGTTCCTGTCAGGAAAATCACCCTCACAGTGAGGTTCCCACTCAGGAGAGTTTGGGGATTCCCAGAGCAGATCACCCCCAAAGTTATCTCCCTTCACACCACCTCAGGGATCTCTCTGCTTGGTGTGTGATGGGCGAGGCTGGAAACCAGTGGCGGACAAACCCCTGAGCGAGCTGCACTTCTAACTCCATCCCCATGGCAGCCACCCCTCCTGAAGAAATAGCCAGAAAAGTTCACAGCCCCACACCAGGGAGCGTTTGCCAGTCGTTTCTATTTATTTAACAGACACTTTATATAAATGCTTACCCTACGTTAGCTACTGTCCTAGACCCTAATTATTATTTTTAATCCTCATAACGGCCCTAGTCGATGGGCATTATTATCACCTCCATTTTGCAGATGAAGAAACAAAGGCAAGAAAGGTTAAATCAGCTGCTCAGGGTCACGGGGCTGCTGGCGAGCGGCAGGAGTGGGACTTGAAACCAGAAGGTCTCACTCAGAAGTTCTTGGTGCCCGTGCATGTGGCCTTCAGCAGGAAGCAGTGTCCTTGCACAAGGACTCCCGCCGGCAGTCTTTGCAGCGCCGGCGGCCGCTCTCAGGGACATGGAGCTTGCGGCTCCGTCACCTGCTGGCAGCTCCGGCCCCTCTTCAGTGGGGGGGGAGTAATGCAGTGTATTTAAAAGCATCTGAGTGCTGAATGAGTCATTTCTGGGAGCCTGGCTGGCAGCGTAGGTAATTAGTATTGTGAACAGTCTCGCACATCCTTCCCATGAACTCAGTCTTGCCTTTGAGGAGCTGCAGGCTTCCATCCCACAAGTTTGTTGCTATTTATTCATCCCATCCCAGTGAGCCTTCCCCGGTGGCTGACTCGAGACCTCTACTCGGTGTTGTTCAGCTTGGGGTTCTTGGAGAGCTGCTCAACCTGCGGCGGGGGGAGCACCAGGTGGCCAGTGCAGCAAGATGGCTTTCCTGGCAGCGGGCGCCACCTGCCTGGTCTCAGGTGGGTGTCCTGGCACCCCTGCTCATGCGTCCGTGCCCCAGCATCTGTACACCCTTGGGGATTGTCGATAGGGGGTGCTGGGCCCCGTCCCTGGGAGTCTGCATTCTCACCAGTTCCTGGGTGGTGTTGCTGTTGCCCATCCGAGGGTGAAACTGACTTAAACCCCTCAGACCCTCAGTACCCTCATCTGTGAGATGGCAGTGAGAACATCTGCCCGCTGGTGAGTGAGGGTTGGAGACCATATTCAGCAATTCACTCAGCAGCAGGTTGCAAGCCTCGCCGGGGTGCCAGGCACTGGGGAATCTGTGCAGAACACGACCGACAAGGGCCTGGAGATGATGGTAGGAGAACAGACCCAAAGAGTAATAAAATAAAGTAATTGAAAATTGTGGCACATGAGACAAAGATCAGAAAGTACGGACACGGAGCCTAGTGGGGGTGGGGAGAAACTAATTCAGAGAGGCTGGCCAGGAAAGGGCTCGCCAGGTGACATTTTTGCAGCCCCGGTCTGTAGTAAGAGCCCAGCGACAATAGTACAATTGTTTATCTCTTGGCTCCGCTGCTTTCTAGCTGTGTGAACTTGGACAAGCCAGCTGACCTCCCTGTTTTATTTCCTGCAGTATGGAGATGGAACAGTACTTGCTGTTCACAGTGTCCTTGTACAGATTATAAAGGTGTTAACATGTGACTTGCATAGAAAAGTGCCAGGAGCATAGTAGGGGTGATGAGTTAACAGTTACTGTCACTGTCCCTGCAGCAGGAATAGAAAACTCTGCGGGGCAATTCTGAATCCCCCAGAAATCCTAAGCAAGCTGAATTCAGCTTCACCCTGTGAGGCTGTCTGTAGCCTTCCTTCTTACTGTCCTATAGTGTGGAGTTGCTGTCACCTCATGGGCCTCCTTGGCAGTGATAAAGACCCACTTGAGACAGGTGGACCCTACTAAAGTCCCTGGCTACCTAGAAGTTGGGTATGGAGGACTTCCTGAAGGAAGGGGGCCACATGATGTTGGAGGAATAAAAGAGCTTCTCTGTTGGCAAGTAACCCAAATCCAGTCCAAACTGGCTTAATCCATAAAAGGAAAGTTAATTGGCTGCTAGAACTGCAAATACCAGGGTACCTGGCTTCACTCACAGTTGAATCCAGCCATTCAATGTATTAGGGCTCCATTCTATCATTTGGCCATTTCCTTTGGGTCAGCCTTACTCTGCTGGGACAAGCTCTCTTCCTATGGTGATAAATAGCAAATTAAGTCCTCTCCAGCTCCGGGCCTATATCCTTTTAGCTTAGAAAACCTCTTTCCAGTTATTCCCAGCAAATGTCCTAAGGCTGATTATCATGGACCTGGTGGGGCTATGTGCCTGTCCAGGAATCAATCGGTGTGACCAAAGGGTGGGATAAATGTTCTGATTGGCCAGGCCTGGGTCAGGTGCTCAGAGCTGGGTCAGGTGGCCCTCCGAAGGAAAATCCTGAGCTCTTCAGAAATGGGAGAAATGGACGCTGGGAAACAGCTGTCCTGAAAAGAGAGGGTTCCACCCTCAGGAATGAAAGCAGAAGTCAAGGGTGTGTCCGTTTACTATGCTAAAAAGGAGCGGGAGCTAGAGACCAGGACCGCGCCAGAGCGCTGCTCAAGTGTAGAAGCTTGGTCACCGTCTTGGTTTTTACACCATCCCTATTGGTTTCTTCTTGTGGTCGGAAGGCCAATCAGGGGCTGGGGAAACCAAGTTCTAATTTGTAGCCAGGCCTAGAGAGAGGAGATGTCCCCAAGAGAGTAAGTGAGGCAGCTAAGGAAGGCCAAGCTCTTGAAAGGAAGGGACACGAGATGCAGGGCTGAGGCTGACAGGCATTTTCCCCATCAACTCTGACCTCAAGTGGCCTCAGACTTTCTCAACCTTGGAACTTTTTACATTTGGGGCTGGATAATTATTTGTTTAGGGGGCGGGGTGGGGGCATCTTGTGCATTGTAGGATGTTCAGCAGCATCCCTGGCCTCTACGCACTAGATGCCAGTTGCACCACCTTCCCCAGTTGTGACAACCAAAAATGTCCCTAGATATGGCCAAATGTTCCCTGGCTTAGGAGGTAAGTGGGGAGGGTTGGGGGTCAAGTCTCCAGAAGTACATTCCTACCCCTCATCTTCCAGCCATGCTGATGATGAATCTGGCTGCCCTGAGACCTAGAGAGGTTCTGTGGGACGTGTCCTGTTGTTACTTACTGAGAAGTCTCTTAATTGCCTTTGCCATTGATGCGATGTCTGGGGGAACTCCACTGTAGGGCCCCTCCATCCTGTTGGGAGGCAGATGGCATTTAGTTCCGACATATCCAGTTCTTAAATTTTCATTCCCAGCATGCTTACAGGACCTTGTGATAATCAGCTCTGTCCAGGACAATATTTTTCCAAAGGGGTACTGGGGATGTGCCATTGGGTATCCAACATGCATTACGTCAATAACCGATTCAGCATGTCAAGAGTTACGTATTTCAGTGGGTTGTTTTCTTTTAGATGAGTTGATTTCAAGGACTCAGTAAGTCAGTTAAGTAAATAACTACACAGGCAGTGGGTAGACAAAGCCTAAGTAGCTGAGGTGGCACTCCAGTGACTGACGTGGCAGGGCCACAAATAGTGGCTGGACGACGGGCCAGACTGCCAATGTCTGGGGTGCATCCTCACCACTAATTTGCTTGAGTGGGATGCTGTGTAAGGACACCTCTTCCCAGACGCCCTCCCTTGCTAGCCGGCTTACTCTCATCTACAGGCCCAGGTGACCGTCCCTGCAGCACCAGGCTCCTCAGTCAGCAGCATCAATAATTTATCTGTCAGTGGTCTCACGGCCAAGGCAGGATCGGAGCTGTTCACAGGATCCTGTAAAGGATCAGAGAGAGGTGGTCAATACCACATTTACTTAGGGAAGCCCCAGGGACCCGCTGGAGGTGGCTGGTTACAACCCCCACATGTGGATGGAGCTACAGCTGTGAGCTGCTGGAGATGCTTGGAAAAGGGGACAGGAGCAGAAGGTGGGGCTTCCTTCAAACTCTCGGAGCTGTGGCGGTGGCTAGAGGAAGGGGTCCTGGTGACTGCGGTTTTTACTAAGCATCCACTTTGTGCCAGTTCTGTGCTAGTGCTTGAGTCTACACCAGTGGCACTTACCCTGGGATTTCGCCCCCTAGGGGTCACTGGGCAGTGTCTAAAGATCTTTTGGGTTCTCACACTTTGGGGAGGTGGGTTGCTTTGAGCATCTAGTGGATGGAGGCCAGTGATGGTGCTACACATCCTGCAGTGCCCAGGACAGCCCCACAGCAATGACTGATCAGGCACTAAATGTCAGTGGTTTCAAGGTTGAGAAACCCTGACTATACTGATGAACAAGACAGACAGCTCGCCAAGAAGAAAGACACGAAGGGCGGACAGGAGAGAGGGAGAGTAGAAACAAAGTAAACAGGCACAAAGATGACTAAGAAATAGAGGCTCTGATGAAGAGGAATGGGGTGTGACCTTGCCCAGGGCTGAGTGGGTGATGTCAGAGCTGAGACCAACAGGGGGAAGATCCGTTTTCCTCGCTAGGGCTCAGAGGAGCATCCCTAGCAGAAGGAGCAGAAAGGTGGGGAGAGGCTGGTAAAGGCCTTCGTCAAGGCTGCTGTGTGGACTCCAGCTTGCATGGGGACTAGAGAGCGCGCCAGGGAGCATCCCACAGGCACCCCTGGGAGAGGGAGGCTGGCGTGGAGTAAGGATGGACGCTTGGGAAATCTTTGGAGGGGGATGAGATGTGTGAGAACCCAGGGTGGAAGCCAGTGCATTGGGTGCGTGGTTCTGCACTGGGAATGCTGGCAGGCTTCTAGGAGCTGGGTTGAGTGACCTTGGGCTGGTGCCCTCACTTCCTGGAGGCTGTCTGGTCACCAGCCTAAGGACTGGATGTGTTGAGTGCCTGGCAGAGGCTGAGTCTGCGCTAAGTGTCAGCTGTGACCACGAGAGGCTGAATGGCGAGGCAGGCCGTTCTCCCGGCGCCGCCCGGGCATGGCCATGGCCCGTGACTCTCTCTTTAAAGTTTCATTTTACTCCCTTCGTTTCGGAGGTCAGACAGGGCCTCAAAGTCAAAGGATGCGAAGGGTACTCAGAGAAAGTGAGTCTTCTCTCAGCCTCTCCTCCAGCCGCCAGTGACGATGAGTCATGGCTGTTCCCTGGGCCGGGCCAAGGTGCAGATGGAGCCAAACTCCATCCACCCCCCACCGCCAGGGCCCCGCCGGCTGTGTGCCTATAAGGGGGGCCCTTCTCCTGAGTGTCCAGAGGCACGCTGTGGGCGAGCAGGTGTGGAAGGAGGTGGAGGCAGGAGAGTGGGGGGCTTATGATGAATTGATCTTTTTTCCCCACCCCACCCCCAACTTTTCCGGGCCTGCTCCCCCGCCAGAGAGGAAGATGGGGACCCAGCGCGCGCTCGCCTTCCTCCTGCTCTTCCTGGTCGCCTCGGGGGCCTCCGAGAACTCCAGCACGTCCCGGGGCTGCGGGCTGGACCTCCTCCCGCAGTACGTGTCCCTGTGCGACCTGGACACCATCTGGGGCATCGTGGTGGAGGCGGTGGCCGGCGCGGGCGCCCTGATCACGCTGCTCCTGATGCTCATCCTGCTGGTGCGGCTGCCGTTCATCAAGGACAAGGAGAAGAAGGACCCGGTGGGCCTGCACTTCCTCTTCCTGCTGGGGACGCTGGGCCTGTTCGGGCTGACCTTCGCCTTCATCATCCGCGAGGACGAGGCGCTGTGCGCGGTGCGCCGCTTCCTGTGGGGCGTGCTCTTCGCGCTCTGCTTCGCCTGCCTGCTGAGCCAGGCGTGGCGCGTGCGGCGGCTGGTGCGGCGCGGCAAGGGCCCGTCGGGCCGGCAGCTGGTGGGCCTGGCGCTGTGCCTGATGCTCGTGCAGGTCATCATCGCGG